AATAACTGAAAACCACACTCCTGCTCTAATGAAAATTGACTGACCTTTCGTTCTCTGCCGTTGTAATTCTATGGCCACGCCATAAAAAAAAACCTTCTATTGTGGTCCAGATGACGTACACCTTTCTCCTATCTGTCCTTGTATCTGCAACCCAACAACTCGTGTAATTCTATGCAGCCTCCTTTTGAGCGAATCTCCGCGCCTGTTTATAACTTCAAATGTTTCCGGCTTCGTCTGATATTAATATTCTTATACCCTTTGGTTTTTCTATCTCTCTGTACCCGTTCCTTACACTGATCAGCTTTTACACAGCAAATAAACACACCCGGTAAATTACGTCTTCGGGACTTCAAACAAACACAAACCACAAAGCTCCTTCCTTCTTGGGCGACGAAAACTGACTAACCACTTTTTTCCTCTCTCCTATCTCATAGCCAAAACCACTACCTTCATAGCATTCAAAAATTGACCAATAAAAATCATCCACCTCTGTGACGTATATCGTTACCAACCAACTCTCTTTATAAAACGTCATTCGTGTAATTCCAGAAAACAACATTCTTTAATTATTCTAACTAAATCTATCTGCTTTACAAATATTTCTTACTAATAGCTACAAACGATACCTGTTTCTCAATTCAATGTCTTTTGTTAATAAACTTTTACCGATATAATCTTTCGGGGAGAAAAACCACCGCAAATCCCGGTCTATTGTTTAAACCCTACTATATACACTTTTATTCTGGGTAAATCCATTTCACAATAACCGACTTATTTAAATTTCCTATCGATAATATTTGAAAGTCTTGTCGCTGAGGCCTAATGAACAATTCTTCGAACAACTTAAAATACATATTTGTCTTATACAGGATGTTTGAAAATTTATATGCCCGTGTCTTTATGAAATATCAATAATTTTAATTTTTATTTAAGTAATAAAATTTGTATATCGGTTTTTTATTGCTTATGGACATTCAAATATATATCAATATATATATATGTATATATATATATATATATATATATATATATATATATCAATATATATATATATATATATATATATATATATATATATATATATAATATATATATATATATATTCTAGCAACTACTTTGCCTACAACTACAAACAACGATGCAGTTTATAAAGAATATAGAAAAAAAGATAAAGAACTGAAAAAACAAATAACACAACAAAAGAATAAAGAATGGAAAAGAACCTGCTTAAATATAGAGACATGCATTGGAAGTACAAGAACTTCGGAGTCATGAAAGTACTGAGAAATTGACACAAAACTCAAAGGAAAAAATTAAATTAGGAAACATACAGGACAAAGAATGGAAGGACTATTACAAGGAACTGTTAACAGAACAAAGACTACAATTCATTGGAAAAGAAAATACGCGAAGACGAAGCAGATCCTAACAACAAGAAATAGAAATAACAGATAGAGGAATAAGAACGGCTATATAAGCAATCAAAAATAAGAAAGCACCGGGACCTGGAGGCATCTCACCCGAGCTTATAAAGTACGGTTCAAAAAAATTACACCGGATGATACAATGGATATTTCAGAATGCCATAAATGGAGAACAGCTTCCAAAGGAATGGACGGAGACATATATGACATCTATATTTAAGAAAGGAGATAGAAAACGATGCGAAACTACGAATAAATAGGCTTAATATCAACAATAGGAAGATTATATGGAAAGATACTGCGAGAAAAAAATTAGAGCAAGCGATAAAAGGCAAAATCGGGGAGGATTAGGCAGGCTTCACAACAGAAATATCATGCGTAGACCACATATAAACACTGGAACAACTTTTGAAAATAAAAGCAAAAATAGAGATATACCTTTAGCATTTGTGGACCTGAGAAAGGCGTATGACTCTGTACCAAGGTCAGAACTATGAGAGGCAATTTACAAATTAGAAATACAGAAGGAACTCATAGAAGTTATAAAAGCTCTGTATAAAGAAAACAAAGTGTTCATTAAAGTGGGAACAAGAATCATAGGAGACTTCACAACAATAAAAGGGCTCCTGCGGGGTTGTTCCACATCTCCAAGCCTATTCAAAATATACCTAAAGAAAGGACTATATCGAAAAGAAAATGTGAAGGCATGGGAGTACCGGTACGGAGCGAATACCTATATACGTTAAGCTTTGCAGACGATCAAGTAGTGATTACACAAGACCAAGACGACCTCAGCTACATGATGAAGACACTACAAGAAGAATATATCAAGACTGGCCTTAATATTAACCTGGCGAAAACAGAGCACCTATCTACAGGTGAAGAAGACATAGAAGATCTACAGATTGATGACGTAACAATCAAAGTAAAGGATAAATTCAAATACTTGGGGTTTATAATCACGAAAAAGACAACAACAGAGGAAGAATTAACACAAAGATTAGGACAAACAAAAACAGCAATCCCACAACTTAAGTCAGTATGGTGGGATAGATACCTCAATGTATGAAGACAAAAACAAATATTTATAAAACATTAATGAGAAGTATTATGACAGATGGGGCTGAAAATTAGATAATAAAAAACAGCAGGAAGAGAGTAGTAACAGAGGTAAAATGCCTGTGAAGATGCTGCAGAGTAACAAGAATGGATAAGAGAAGTAATGACTAAATAAAGCAAAGAACAACAATAGAAATAGATATACTAACATATATAGAACAAAATAGACTAAAGTGGTATGGACATGTAAGAAGAACTAGCAACAGCAGATGAATAAAGAAAATAACCGAATGGAGCCGCATAAAAAGAAGGAAAAGAGGATAACCCCGAAGATCCTGGAGGAACGAAGTAGACGACGCCATAAGTAATAGAGGCCTAAACGATGGAGAATGGAACAGAGAGAGATGGAAACGGTTGAACGAGGGACGGCAGTGAATACTGTAGAATCCCTGAATATAGGTATATAGAAACTGTTTTCTTAATTCGTAAGTACCTACATATTTTTCCAAAAAGACCTAGTCATAACTACTACACCAGAAATTCAAGCTTTGATCTGTATTTATCGATCCCGTCCACTGAGTTAGTAAAAAAAATCCATATTATATACGACAAAAAAATTATACAACTCTCTCTTTGCAACTTAAGTCTACAACTTCTTTTCTTTAGATCTATAAATTGACAAAAGCCTATCTATCTGAAAGATCGCGTTATTCATTGAAAAAGTTTTTCAACAAAAAATAAGAAATTACTGTACGTTTAAGTACAAGCAACAAATAGTATATTACATAACGAGAGTTGTAAGAAGCTTATTACATGCAAGTAAAAAAGTTGCGCGCGAGCCGCGTAGCGGCGAGCGCAGTAATTTTACAAGCATGTAATAAGCTTACAACTCAAGTTGTGTACTATACTTTTTTTACCATTATTTTCGTTTATAAAAATAAAAATTAAATTACCACTTTATTTACACTGACAGATTAATAATTTTTAATCTGTCAAAATAACGTCTGTTTATTCGTTTCCATGGTAACTCGACCAACTGACTTACGAGGCTTATGTGATATTACACATTTTTATAAACTGAAGCGTAATTTTTTTTATTACGTGCTAGTCATTACGTGTCAGTAGCTGTTATGATGCATTTACTTAGCATCCAAATAGTAGGTAATATACTATTTACTAGTGAGAGAGTAGAAAAAGTATTTTTATATACGTATTTGGGTATCACATGCAGCAACTTTTAGTTACCTATAAGTTATTAGTTCATTTCAAGGTTTAATTTAAAATTTGCAATTTATTTAAATTTTGCAATTGATTGTGTATTTTATTATCTTTTCTTTTGCGATATTGACGATTTATGTAATTTTAGTAAATTTTAATTGTTATTAACCTAAAGGTCGTGAGTTCGAATCTCATCTGGGTGGAGAAATTTTCGTTTAATCAAAATTAATGAATGAAAATAATTTCTATCCTTGTGCGATCGGTACTCACCAGAGGGACCGCAGACGTTCGGATACAATTAGCGTCTCAGCAAAGACGATGACGTCGACTTTGCTAAGTATCAAGACAAATTCTCGACATACACACACACACACACACACACACACACACACACACACACACACACACACACACACACTACACTAGGTACCTGACTGTACCATGCCAATGATCTTAGTTGTCGAGGCATTAACTCAATAATAAAAAAAAAATTGTTATTGTTATTTTTTTATCTTTTTGTATGCTTTGTCCATAAAATTGTACAATTTTCAGTGACAATAAAGCATATTTTTATTCTACTACAAATTTTAAAATATGTTCACACATAACAACCTTTGAAATTTTTATGGTCATATTAGTAATATAATACAAAAAAAAATTAAATCAATATTTAATTTAAAAGGATAGTCCTTGGTGTGAGATCGCTCTTGTAGGAAAAATGTTTCTGATTTGTTTCTGTGCTCATTCTTAATCAAAAATGTCACATTTAAACAAATCTGAAGGAAGCACGGCCAAATTTTTCGAATGACAGAAATTGTTTAAACAATTTTTCTAAACAAATTCTAAACATCACCATTTTGACACCAAGTTTTTTTGTATCATTCTAAACAAAAAAGGACTCGTGATACTTTTCCCAAAGTTGACAGATTTTTAGTTATAAGCGATTTAAAATCTGAAAAATGTCAAAATACGCATTCTCCTCAGATTTGTTTAAAGGGGACATTTTTTAAAAAGAATTCGCAAAGGAACCGAATCAGAAATATTTTTCCTACAGGATCAGTCTCACAACATGCACTATGAGCACTATTAAAAGTTGTTTTTGAAACTAATGGTTAACTCGTTATGGTTCTGACGCCCTTATTTATAGTAGTTAACTTTGATTACTTTAAAAACCTTTTTGCGCGAAACTTGTTTTGTAAATATATCAGAAATTAAAATATTAGTGAGCTGCATCACATTTTGTTAAATGTTTGTATTTGGATATATTTTTAATTAAATTTCAAACAAACCATCACTCACCTGGCATGGAAATCGTTAAAATGAACCACAGATAATTCGAAGTAATCACTCGTAATTGTTTGTGGCAGAGCGCTAATGTTCCAAATTACACAAAACAGAAGAATCGCGACGGACAACATAATTTTATTGTTTAGCTACGCTTTACTGGAAGGTAACTGAATAGTGTAAGTGTATTAATTTTTATCGCTAAATTGATATACACTTGTGATTTCAATATCCATTTATAAATAATTAAAAGCGTTTTTTACAATATTTCTGGAGTAAACGGTGTCACATTGGTCGATTTATTTGCGAATTGTTGCATTAAATGGCAGAATCATAGGCGGACTATAATATACTTTTAATATTGGAATTTTTAAATGCATACAATAATTAGCGCATATTAAAAAATCAATCACATACACAGATCTCATAGCCGTACCAGAATATTTGTATTTTTTGAAAGGCAAAAATAAAAAAGTAAAATTCTTACAATTATGTTTTTATTATACTCTAGACCAGTGGCTCTCAACCTTTTCACCACTGAGGAGCACTTGTACCTTTCAGAATTCTTGGCGGACCACAAGTTTTACTAATGAATTTATTATTTACAAAATAAAAAAAGAAAATACATAGTGAAAGACAAAGGACATATAAAAAACAAAATAAAAAGTCATACATAGCGCCAAATTAAGACGTTAATGGTCTTGCTTCTCACTTAAAAGTTTCTCAATATTTGGCTCGAAAGAAGTTAACGCCAGTCTCATAGGAGCATTCAAATTTAGCAACCTCTTTCTGTGTTTATTCTTGATGACATATAATGTTGAGAATGATGCCTCACAGAGATAAATGGAATGAAAATGAAGAAGAAGTTTCGAAGCTTTTTCACTTAGCAGTGGAATTTCATCAAGTAACCCTTTTCAAAAATCTGCAGCATTGAAATTTTATCACTTTTAAATGATCATCGGTTTAAATTTCAATAAGCTGTTCATTTTCTAAATAGACAGATTATTAGCGTGAGTAGCTAAAAAGGGATCAATCACCCACAGATTATTTTTCCTCACATCTGTAAAGTGTGCCTCAATGTTTATCGTCTTAAATTGTACCTGATTATTGTCTTATCTCCATCTAGGTATTTTATGACAGGGCATCAGAGGCGGACTACAAGTACAAATAATAATACATCGATTTCTTTTAGAGGCATCTATTTTATTGTAAAGAAAATTACATTTATTTAATAGTATTCTAAAACTTATATTCAATACTGAGTGATAACAATAAGATATTTAAACTACACTGTAAAAGTTAAAAATTAATGATTATTAAATATCTCTATTGTTATTCTAATACTTATATTATTTATATTCGAAACATAACAATACGAGATTTAAACTAAATTAATATCGAATATTATTATGTGTTGTTATAATTAAGATCAATTCTGTTTCACGGCGGGCGAACTTTCGACACCAAATTGTCTTTGTACCTGCGGTAATCGAAGGGTCAAATTTTATTATAGGAAATTTCGACACCGCGGCATAAAGCAGGTAGGTAGGTAATTACCGGCGATGGACATTTGCACCCAAGCAGGACAAGCGGGTTTTCCCAATATTTATTGTCACGGCGGGGGGCGTGGCACTTGTGTACTTGTGACTAAATTATTTTAGTTGCAATTTATTTCTTGTTTGACGTCGACTTGTGCACGTATACGGATGTTTAAAAAATGAGTTTGATAAAAAGTTCCTGTGGTCGAGATTTATTAGTGGTGGAGCATCATTCGTTCTCGAAACAGAAAGTGTTAAAAAGCGGCGAGATATTTTGGCGCTGCATCCAAAGAAACACTAAGTGTTCCGCAAAAGTGTTTACAATAGGCTGTGAGGACCTCACCAGAAGTGATTTGATACATAAACATGAAGCCGATCCAAAAAAGCTTGAAGTCAAGATGGTAACCAATGCATGTAAAAGAAAAGCCCAAGAGGGCATATCGGAAAAGCCTGCCAAAATTACAAGAACTGCTGTTGCTGAGTGTGATGCCAATTTGCTGACGGTTCCTGACATAGCTAGCATAAGAAAGAACATTTACAACTGTCGTCATAAACTTTTACCAGGTCCGTTACCAAGAAGCATATCAGAAGTCCATAACGCGGTTAGTAATTATTCTCCTAAAACCTGTCGCAATGAAAGTTTTTGGTTTTTAAATCATCCTTAATTAAATGCAATTGTATTTTCATGCGAGACAAATATTCGTTTGTTGTGTCAATTAAAAACTTTGTATATGGATGGTACATTTTCATACAGTACCAAATATTTTCTACAATTATTTACTATACATGGCTTGGAAAATGGACATTATGTTCCTTTAGCATACTGTTTGTTAAAGGACAAATTGTCAATGACATAAAAAAATTTATTTTCTTTATTAAGATCTAAGATTTTTGAAATATTTCAATTATCATTATAGCCAACTGAAATATTTGTGGACGAAAAAGCAATTCACTGTGCTTTATTGTATATGTGGCCCAATAGAAAAATTAGTGAATGCCGTTTTCACTTACACCAAAACTGGTTTAAAAAAATTCAATCTTTGGGTTTGGTACAAGAATATAAGGATACAAATTCAAAAATTGGAAAATGGTTAAGGCATATGTTTGGTTTAACTTATTTAAATCCAGCAGAAGTTGAAGAATGCTTTCTTTATGATTTAATGTCATATAAACCTATAAACGCAACACTTGATATATATGCAGATTATTTACTGGAAAATTACATTTTCGATAGCGCTCTATTTCCACCACACATATGGTCTAATCAGAATCCGTCTATTGCGAGGACCACAAATGTCTGTGAATCCTTTCATTCAAGATTTAATTCTTATTTTTATTCAACACATCCTTCTATTTTTATTTTTATTGAAAAGTTAAAAAATTTCAAGTAGACACTTATGTCAAAATAAATAGTTTACATATACCAGCAAAAATCAAAGATACTACTGTTAAGGCTAAATTGGCATTTTTGGAGAAAACTACGATCCCAACAAATACGTAGGTTAGATTTTATAAAAGCTGTATCTTATCATTCCTATAATAGCAAATAAATCATTGTATACAAGTATATTACCTTAAAATGTACAAAAATTAGGTACTAGTTGTATTATATTTAGATATTATTACAGTTATAAAGAAATAAAATGCACATTACTTTTATTAAAATAAATAAATTAATTAATTATGGTATTTTATTTATGTCGCAGCTATATTTATTTGGTGTCGAATATACCTGTAAGATAAAAACGGGAATTGGGGCTGGTGTCGAAAATTGCCATTAAATTTTAGTCGCTACCTGCTTAGTGTCGAAATTTCCTACGCCCCTGTTTCACTGTCGGAGTCATCATTTAGATTTATCACAATGGGCTGTATATTAAAACTTTGCGTAGACAAATAAGAATGTTCAATTTTTACAATATGCTGTACTGAATTTTTCCAGCTTTCAACCGATATATTATTTATAACAGTTTTAATCAACTCTATGACAGTCGCACTCAGTGCAGGAGAGACATTTTTCGTTCTTACCTTTGCTTTTACTTGGTGCCAGATATGTTCAATGGGGTTGAATACACAATGGTATGGAGGAAGACGTAACACAGTGTGTCCCATCTGTTCTGCTAAGTTGTCACATACATATTGCTTTTTAATAGCAAACGTATTAAACATTATACGGAGTATGTTTAGAGTTTGTCAAAATTAAAAAAGCATTTAGAGATGGAAAAATAATCAAGCGGTGTGCCAACACCAATGGTCAACACAGTTCGTGATGGTTTCTACTAGTCCTAGCTCTGGACGAATCTGTTGATATTGTTGACAGTGATGATTTTTGATTTTTGTGTAAATGAGTAACTTCTAAAACTGCACCACAGGAAAGACGGGACCGAAGGTATAAATATATTTAAAGCAGTTAGTGATGCTCTGAAAAATATAGGCGGTTTTCAAAAATGCTCTTGCATTTGCACCGATGAAGCAAAAGCAATGACGAGACGCATAACGGGATTGGCTGGACTTTTGTGGGAGAATAGTGTTAACTGTGCTATATTTCATTGCATTATCCATCAAGAAGCTCTGTGCAAAAAGATAATTAAAATCAAGGATACCATGAAAACTTTAGTGCCAATAGTAAACAGCTTAAGAAGATGAAACAGAAATTCATCTCTTTCTTGCAGGAATTAAATACTGAATATAAGGATGTCCCTCTACATTTAGAGTTGGTTAAGTGCAGATGTATGCCTTAGAAATTTTTCTTTAAGAAAAGAGATCTTCCTGTTTTTTAAAACGGAAATTGTTTATCGTTACTCTAGCTCTTACTGGTCTGTGGTCGCTTCCTACTGATAGTTTATTGAGTACAGTGACATCTTGAATAATTTGCTTTTTGTCTGTAATTATGTAATCATATTCGCTCTTAGTTCTTCCGTCTGGACTAGCCCACGTCCATTTTCTATTCTGTTTCTTCTTAAAAAGGGTGTTCATTACATACAGTTTGTGTTGCAGTAGAAAGTTGATAAGCATTTCGCCTCTTTCGTTTCTTACCCCGATTCCAAAATCCCCGATTGCCACTTCTTGTTCGTCCTTTTTCCTTCCGAGTTTCCCGTTAAAATCTCCCATTATCAGATTGTAATGAACCGGTTCCTGCTTTTTTGCTCTTTCGATTTCCTCATAGAAGGCTTCGACAATTTCATATTCGTAATTGCTTTTAGGGACGTATATCTGGATTATTTTCAGATTGTATCTCTTATTTAGTCTTAGATTTATATACATAACTCTTGGGGAAATGCAGTCAATGCTCTGTATATTTTTCTGTAATTTTTTGTGTACTAATAAACCTATTCCTCCAGTTGTCGATTCCGTTTCCCCTTTATAGTGGAATATGTTTCCTGATTTTAGTTTGACCTGATCTTCACCTCTTCTTAAGGTCAACGAAACATAGATATGTCGGTTTGTTGTATTCTAATGATTTATCTTGCACTTACCTTATCATAAAGATAGCGTCGATGCATGATATTTCCGACCTAAAATCTAGTTGTTCTTCTGCAAGTGTTATAATTTCATTTTGCAAAGAAGTGATAGATCATCATCATTATCATCATCATTAGCCATTTTGCGTCCACTGCTGAACATAGGCCTCCCGTAA